TGTGTATATGTGTATATTGTATGCACCAACTGCACCAGGTCACACAGGCGTAAAAACCTACTTGGCAATAAACAAAATTTCTGAATCTGATATTCACATGTACATTTAAAGTATTTTATTTTTCTCCACACACACACACACACACACACACACACACACACACACACAGCCATGGATGTGGCAGATTCCTGAGCAGGAAGGATGACATCGGAGGCTGCTGTCTCCTCACCTCCTGCCATAAGCAGCACCCCTGCCAAGAGGGACTACTACTGGCTTCGCTCCTTTGCAGCTGGAGGTAGGTTATAGATGGAGTCTCTCTCAAACCGCACTTCAGTTTTAAGAACAAGGAACTAATGCTAATTGCTGAGCTTCACGTTAGTCAGCCACTGATGTCTCCCAGCTTTGGCGATACCATTCCTCAGCTGACATTGATCTCTGACCTCCCTGTGAAACCTGGCAAGAAAATAACAGTTACCTCACATACTACATACAGGCTTTGTTACCTTTGGCACATACGTATGATTAAAGCAAATAATAGTTTTTACAGACAGACACAAGCTGGGTAAACATATATTTGTTTTGTCTGACAGTGACTAGAAAGCTTAGGTTGGCCACTGTTTTTATAAATGATTTGCCTGTCTCATTGCCAGATAAACTGATACTTTAAAGAAAAGAAACGTTATGCCTTGTTAGAATGAAAAGTTGCATATTTAATAATCAATGTGTTGATTTCTCTGGTTTTGTTTAGGTGTAGCAGGATGCTGTGCCAAGACCACCATCGCTCCTCTGGACAGAGTCAAGATTCTTCTTCAAGCCCAGAACCCGCATTACAAACATCTAGGTAAAACATCAAGATAAGATAGACTTTATTGATCGCACACTGGGGAAATTCAGCAGCCAAACGTGGAAAAGTGTTTGTTTTTTTTCCACACAACACGACTGAAACGTCTGATCTTTCTTTGCAGGAGTGTTGTCCACTCTAAAAGCTGTGCCGCAGAAAGAAGGCTTCCTTGGCTTGTACAAGGGTAATGGGGCAATGATGGTCAGGATATTTCCTTATGGAGCCATCCAGTTCATGGCCTTTGACAATTATAAAAAGGTACAGTGTCTACTTTCAAAGGGCAATGTCTTAAGAACTGTGTGGTTGTTTAGGTAGAAGTGCTTTTATGTTTTTTTGCTGTGATATTTAGCTATTTTTTTACTATTGCATTGATTTCATTGTAAAACCGACCTTTGTTTCCTCCCTCCTGGTTCTGATAATATTCCCTTTACAGCTGCTAAGCAAACACATCGGAACCTCTGGGCACATCCACCGCCTTGTGGCAGGATCTATGGCAGGTGAGTTATCTTTCTCACTGATAAGACTCTTCAGTCAGTTCCAGCTGGATATCATGTACTCTGCTGGCATAGAAACCTTTTCTTTTTGCGTAAAAGAAATATCGCAAGTAAGTGCATCGTAGAGTGTTATTAAATCTGAAGAAAAGATACTGAAGTTGTCAGGCTCCAAGTCTGCTCGCATCAGTACAGAGACAGCCACAGTAGACTCTGCAGCCACAATGTGCGAGTGTTTAATCTCAGTAAATCATGTTTGTACTTGTTTTTCAGGGATGACTGCGGTGATATGCACGTACCCTCTGGATGTGATCCGAGCCAGACTGGCCTTCCAGGTGACAGGATATCACCGCTACACTGGAATTGCCAATGCCTTCCACACCATCTACCTTAAGGTAGTGTTCAACCTTCACAAACATTGTAGCCTTTCATCAAAAATGCATGAAAGTCAAAGGTTTAGTAAGAGTTTTAATGCAAGTTTTTAGTCAATATTGATAATAATCTAAACTGTATATTTTCATTCTCATACAAGCAGACCTGTTTTTTCTTTTGTGTAAAGGAGGGGGGGGTCTTGGGCTTCTATAGAGGACTTACTCCAACACTGATTGGAATGGCCCCTTATGCAGGTGAGATTGCATACATTGATACCAGTCTTTGAATATAAGATCAGTGTGAACATACAATATGTAACCAGTCCTCTTTACGCCGCATTAGCTTGACTCTTTGTCTCCCACTCGTTTTTATCCTCCAGGTTTCTCATTCTTCACCTTTGGCACCCTGAAGAGCCTCGGCTTGAAGCATTTCCCAGAGCTGCTGGGACGCCCCTCCTCAGACAACCCTGATGTCCTCATTCTGAAACCCCAGGTTAACCTGCTCTGTGGAGGGGTTGCTGGTGCCATCGCTCAGACAATATCGTAAGTGCTGTCGGCAACAAGCTTCAAACTCCAGACTTGCATAAATGATGAGCTGTATTGTGTTTCTTCTCATTAGGTACCCCTTGGACGTGGCTAGGAGAAGAATGCAGTTGGGGTCCGTGCTTCCTGACTCAGAGAAATGTGTGTAAGTATCACCAATGTTCCCATTCTCCATATTCTGCCATACCGTGATATATTGCTGCACATTACACCTGTCACTGTGTGCAGTGTACCTCGTAAAATCATGATTAGTCTCATTTTTGGCCGATAGATTTCAGAAACAAATGTTGCTCCAGTATTGTGTTCTGATTTCATTTGGAAGCATTGCAGTGAAATTGTAATCTTATAGGTGACCCTTTTTCAGAAGAGGTCCAGTATGTAACAGGAGGCTCGATTGGCAGAAATGGAATCTAATATTCATTAGTGTATAATCCTGAATACAGGAAACGTTATGTTTCTGTTACCTTAGAATGAACCTTTTATATCTACAGATGCGGCGGGCTGCCTTGCATGGGGCACTCACAATTTTATACACTGGATCTTTTAAAGGAGAAATAATTGTAAGGGTGTATTGTAATGCTGAGGGTAATAACAGAGACAAAAACAACACAGTGCTGATGAACTTTATAATTTCACGAGTGATAGTTAAGTGCTCATCTAGCTACAGAGCTAATTGGTACTCACATATTCTGAAGAAGTCATTAGTGCCTCTCTAATTGGGAGTTGTTTAAAACATTAACCGGTTTATAGTAGCCTCAGGAAAGAGGTTCAGCACTCACTGTAATATGTTTTGGTTTTTTTTAAATAAGCAAAATCACAGGGAGCTCTGGAAGTTTGAATGTGAAAGTGTGCTGAACGTTAATGGAGGAGTTCCCTTTTTAAAATAGCTGATTCCACATTTGGTTTTGTAAGTAGAGTTTGATGAAGTGCATGCTTACAACTGGAGAGAAAATTCCAGAGGGTTGGGGGGATGTTTACATGAGATAAAAACGTTACAGCCCAAAACTTTAAGGAGCATAATAACAACTGAGCTGTGGAACTACAGCAACATACCGTTCATACCTTTTACAGGTTCACATGCCAGTTCAAACACTGCTCATTGTTCTTGCATTATCTGCTTTCCCTTTATATTTAGGATTTTTTTTAAGGAATGCATTCACCAGGTCCAGTCAGTGAATCGGTGCCCTGGAAGTTTTTTTTATTAAAGCTGTTAATATGAAGGCTGTTCATTAACAGGGTTTAGTTCCCCGTAGCACAGGCGGACCTCACTTTTCAGGCCTCTAATGTCAATTTAAAAACATGCACATTCTTTGTCAGCTAACATAGTTAATAGGAATTTGCTTTGGTGAGCTTATAAGAAAACAAAGATCGGGACATAACATGACCACACAGTTGTTAATGATTTTTCTATCACTCTAAAAAGTGTATAATTTCTTGTCTTACACCTGAACAGAACGCTGAGCAAGACCCTGACGTATGTGTATAAGAAGTATGGGATCAAGAAGGGATTGTACCGAGGCCTTTCTCTCAACTACATCCGCTGTGTCCCCTCCCAGGCTGTGGCCTTTACCACCTACGAGTTCATGAAGCAGTTCCTCCACCTGAACTAGTCGCTGTTTTTTTTTTTTTAATACCTTCCAAGTCTGGACCTGGGCCTGCACGCTCCAAATCATCAACCTCAATGCTTCCTTCGTAGAGTCATCTGAGGCTTTATCGCTATGTCTTAAACAATTTGGAGTTCACTGAAGGTACCACAGAAGTCACTTCATGCTGAAATAGGGAAACTGGATATCAGACAGTGAGGCGCTCCATGTCTGTCCTGTTTCATTCCCTCGTGCTCCGTGTTTTTCGTGACTAGCTACCTCTTAACGAGAGGATTTATTGTAGAGCAACATCCTCATCAATGTCTCCATTGGATACTGCGATGATGTGCTATATTTGGTCTGGCTAGGTTAGTTGGATGGGTTGGGGCACTGATATGCTCTTTAACAGTGTTGTTGGCAACACCACAACAACCGTGTGATTGTGTAGAAGCCCCCCAATTCACACAGCAAACACAGATGTCGACACGCTTAAGATGGACACCATCTTAAAATCATCAAATTATCAATTTATTTTTAATCAGTGTCTTTACAAAGAAGGGAACTCGTGTTATTAATTTATTTGAATAGTGTATCACCCATGGAAACTTAAATTCTTTATTGTTTATCGTCTACTTTTTTACCGACTTCGTGATGAAAGGTTTGGCTCTTGTGGAAGAGATGGCTAGAATTTAAAAATAATCAGATAATTCATAATGTTTTGCTTAGTCAGGGCTTAGTGTGTCTTTAAATGTACAGGTTTGGGGTGCAGTAAGTGCAGTAACTTTAGGAAAAGCTGCTGTTGGTGTGTCTTTGCATTTGTCCTCTACTTCACAAATCATAAAATCCAGATATAACAGTTCACTGGCAGGTTTTTTTTTTTTTGTTTTTGTTTTTTTAAAGATGCACTGACCGACGTGGCACATGATTTCAGTTTAAATTTTATTGCCAAACCTTGAATAGAGCAGTTATTGTATATAATTTAAATTGCTATTTTTTGTGTTGGTTAACATGCACTCAGATGTTTAGTCTGTAGCTTTGATGATATTGAATCCATGCTCAGCTGTGATCAGAGAGATATTTTGAGTTGATAAGAGTGTTTAAAATGTCAGCATTTTGATGTAATATGGATTTAGGTCTCACATGTCTGCAGGGACTCAGGAGAAATTTGCACTTCATCACTGTAGCTTTTTAATTTTATTTATTGATTTAGCAACCTGTTGCCACTGGGTGGCAGCATTGAATATAGATTGTATTGTTTACCATCAGAGCTGGACACAACATTCATAGAAATGTCTTAGATTTCTTATCAAATACAAGTCAGATTAGGATCTTTATGATTTTTTTAATGTTTTGCTTTAACCAAAGCAAGTTGTCAGAAAATGAGTATAATATATGCAGTGTTTTTAACCCAGTTCAGCCAACATTTTCGACTATTCACTGGAGCTACTGTAAGGCTGTTGCCCCAGAAAGACTGAACATTGATTACTGAATGAAAGTGTTGTTTAATCACTTTCAATCTCAAGTGCACCGCAGGCCAGCTGCTGCCAGTGTTTGCATGAGCCTCATCAGTTTGTTGGATAAGCATTGTTATTTTTTTCTGCCTCTTGCCTTCCACTTCATTCGATGTCTTACTTCACCAGAGTGACGCTTCAGTTGATGCCTCAGCTTTTAGATCACTGTATATGAATTGGGGGCGAGCAGATGCCTTAGAACAATGTTTTTTGTTTTTTTTTAACCTTTTTGTCTACATATGACCACTCATTACAGTATTTTTTACCTCTAATATTCTCAGACTGTGACCTTTGGAGAGCTTAAAAAGTAAAACTACCCAATATTTCACAAAACAGCAGAAATTAGAGGAAATTCCCAACAATTTTTTATCACATTAAATTCTTTTTTTTAGGGACAATCTGGTAATTCTGTCCACTTGACCCACCAAATTTTTTTTGAAAAGTCTACGATGTACCCTGGGACACCTAATTACTAGGTGAAGTCACATTTACCCAATTCACCTCCAACCCTCCCTCTGAAACAGTCAGCTGTCAGCAGTGTGGACAGAGTGGAGTATGAAAGATTGTGGGCGTGCAAATGAGAGTAGCTGTTGTATGAATACCTCTACCTCTACACTGTTAATTCTGTTTGTGGCAAATTTACACCTTCCCTGGTATCATCCACTGCCTCTGCTACTTGCTGAATTCTCACTAGGCTAAGCTCGCAGTTCAAACGGCTCTGAACTGTCTGTCCGTCAGTGAAGGCGGAGACTGCAGTCATTGCTTTCAGTTTAGGCCAGTAAAGAAGATGCTTTGACCGAGAGTTACACATGGACTTACCATTCTATGAATACTAAGTGACCATTAATCTAAACATTAAAGCATCTCAAACTGGCTGAAAAGTGTCGTTTTTTCCCCCCTTGGAGGTACAAAACTGAAACTTAATGGCGAGCCAAGGGCCAAAAGCAAATCTTTGAAGAAGAAGAAGAAGATTTCACTCTTTTTTTTTTATTTTTATGCACACTTCATGCACATGTGGA